AAGGTACCTTTTTTATTCGTTATATTATAAAGAATTATTTATTTACTAAAAGTTTTTTTGTTTAGGTAGGGATGATTCTTGCCCATTGACGCCACGTTGGAGCCATGTTGGAGCCATGTCGGAGTCAATTGGATGTCAAATGCCACGCAAGCCATTACACTAGCGACGTGACAGAGCTCAGATAGTAAAGGGGCTAATCTGCTCCTTATGTGGGGTTTGAGGGTTTATTTGCCACTTGTTTTAGTTTAGGGGCTTATCACTAGCTGTTGAAAAAGTTGAGGGGCTTAACATGGGTTTTTGCCTACTTTTATAGATGGAAATGATAATAAAATCATGTTTGGGTTGACTTGTAAAAATTTTTACTTTTTTGGTTACTGTTTATGAGTAATAAGTTTAAATTTTTATTAGAGGAAAAATTTAAAAATTATTTTTAAAAATAAGAGAAAACGAGTAAAAAGTATGTAAAAAAGAAGTTTATAAAAAGTAAAAATTTAAAAATTTTAAACTTTTACTGTTTATAGTCTTTTAAAAGTTAAAAAAAGTTTAAAAATGTAAGTTTTTAAAAAATAAATTTAAACTTATAAAATATAAACAGTATAAAAAAATTAAAGCACTTGAAAACTGAATAAAACATATTTTAAGCCTCATGAGGTAAGAATCCTCTCTCCATCTCTATCCTTCTAATAATAATAGTTATGAAGATCTCTGTAGGAATTTTCGGTGAAAAACCAAAAAAAATCCTCCATTCCTATCCTTACAAATGAAAAAAAATCAACATTAAATCTTTTGTTAAGTGGGTACCAAAAAGTAATTTTTTATTAATTAATTTACACTAAAAATTTTATTATTATTATATTTAATTTAATTATAATTTTTTTAATTTTCATCTTTGATTCATTAAGTTAAGTTTCATAATATTTTTAAAATAAATAAATAAATTTTAAAATAAATTTTAATTATAATTATAACACGGGATGCTATAGGGACAATTTTTTTATACCATCTTTTTATATAACTTTTTATATCATTAAATGAGTAAATGCATTTAATATCACAGGTCTTACATGAATTAACAAAATCAATTATTTAAATGATATATCAAGTTGTACAAAAAAAAAAGATAAAAATTATACAAAAATCATTTTTCTTATAGCATAATACAGTTTAATATAACTACAACTATAATACCCTACAATAATTCTAAAATGCATGGTTAGTCAAAGCCTATTTTGGTTAAAAATTTTAG